AAGGGGGCAAAAGCAAGCATCACTGGACACGTTCCTTCTTTGACATTAAAGGTTAGAGCTACTTAAAACACTCGGACACCGTTAGGTTGGAAACTTCAGCTTAGACATTAGAGCTTACAGCTATGTGAACTTCCTGATCATATTTGAAGGACAAGATGTGAGTGAACTTCCTGACCATACTAAGGACAAGATGTGAGTTATCTTTCTAACATCATCTCCTACTTTCACTGTTGGAGCCAGGTTCCCCATCACATCTTTCTGGGCCTGGAGTGATCTGTGCCTCCTTATCCTGCCCCTTCTAGGACACACCTCTTCCCTCTTCACTACAATCTGCTCTCCTGTGACCAGACCTTGTTTGCACATCCCACACCTAGCTTAAACCAGAAAGCTGGGCTGAAGGTACATAGGTGGTAGAGCGTGTGCCTACCACACATGGGGCCCTGAGTTCAGTTCCCAACTCCACACACATCAAAAACAAAACAAAACATAAAAGTTAGCATCACTTACCATGCACATATTCCTCCTTATGTTCTAGCCTTCCCCAAAACACACATACAAAACCTAATCTTTCATTAGTTTCCTACGGGTACATCCAAAAGAATATTACAGAGAACTGTCATTGGCTGGCTGTCTTCTATCCTGGAAGGCAGACCATCTCATCCCCTGTTCTTTTATCTTCTGGCACAATTAGATATCACATTTTTGTTTTGTTTCATTTTGTTGAGCTAGGATCTCACTACGTAGCCCAGACTGGCCTGGAGTCCTACTGCTATGGCCTCCCGAGTGCTGGGATCACAGGTGTGAGCTACCACCTAAGCTAGACACTTAGTGGGTTCTGTTCTGTGAAAGAAGGCAATTACATGAGTAAGTGAACCAACATTATCTATCAATATTTCATTTTAAAAATTTTATGTTTAACAGCTTCATTTAGGTATAATTAATGTACAGAATACTTCACACTTAAACTACACTACTTGATATTTTGGAGCAATATATATGGATAATAAATTGTATACACACATGCATATAACTTTTTAAAAATATATATAATATATATATTATATATATAATGTCTGTGAGCATAATTCATCCCTGAAACATGCTTGTAATCCAAAGCTCTTGTAAATCAAAACCAATTTCCCAATTAAAAAAAAGGAAAGTCAGATGATTTGTTCCACAAATTCACAATAAAAAAGTATTATAATACTGTAACAGAATACAAAACTCATAAAGAAAATGCAAACTATAAATGAACCTGCACTTATCTTTGAAAAGCTTCTGGCTGGTGTGAGGGATACAAGAGAAAGGAGGGTTAGTGTGTAGGTTGACTTTCACTATCACTAATGGAATCACTGCTATGCATTGGTTCAAATGAATATAAAACATTCTGTGCCTGCCCGCCAGCAAGTTTTAGAGCTCTAAGCTCTAGTGTCCAAGTTGGAAATTGTAAGAAAAATAAGTTGGAAATCCATTAAGCTGGGTGCACTGTAAGCTGTAGAGGCCAGTGACCGAGTGGCAAAAGAATTTACCAACACCAGAGTAGAGAAAGGCAGAAGTTTGTTTAGATCCGAATACACTGTCCAGAGGGGTAGCTGGTCAGACAGAGAGATCTGTGCCATGAAGCAGTGGCTGTGCTGGTTTTAAAGGGAAAAGTGTGGTCTGGACAGAGCAGCCTGGACTGAAGGACAAGGGCACAGAGGCTAGGGAAGATGGGGCCAGGCATTCGAGGTCTCCTTTGGGCTGGAGATGTGCGACATCCTTGTGAGAAGACAATGCTGGGGTCAGGCTGACACAGCAGTCACGCTTATTAGAGGAAGAAAGGGCAATGGCTACAGCTGCGATTTCTTTTCTTAGTATATGTTAGCAACACAAAGTCGTCACAAGCATGCAACCTCTTAATCGTTGTCTCTTCCCCTCCCCCTCCCTGCCCTCCCATTTCCTCCATTCCTAGACCCCCTTTCCATCTCCACACAGTCTACTTCCCTGTTTCCTGTCATTTATCTTTTTTCTTTAAATTATTTGTATTGTCGATCTTCATATAAGAAAAACCTGTGATATTTAAACCTGTGTGTCTGATTTATTTCACTTAACATTATGACCTCAAGGTGCACACATTTTCCGACAAATGACTTTATCCTTCTTTATAGTTCTATAGTATTCCATTATGTATATATACCACCTTTCTTTATTCATTCATCTGTCGAAGGCATATAGGCTGCCTCCATAATTTAGCTATTGTAAATTATGTTACTATAAACATGAGTACGCATATATCACTGTTTATGTGAGGTCTTACCTCCTTGGGGAAGATAGCCAATGGAGGGATAGCTGGGTGAAATGGAATTTCTATTTTCAGTGCTTTGGGAAATCTCCATACTGATTTCCATACAGGTTGTATTAAACTACATTCCCCTCAGGTTATAGAAGGGCTTCTTTTCCTCTACAACTTTCTGTTTTTCAGCTCTTAATAATAGCTCTTCTTTCTGGTGTAAGATAGAATCTCAATGTTTCTTCAATTTGTATTTCCCTAAATGGCCAAATATGCAGAATGTCTTTCACGCATGTGCTGGCCATTTGTACTTCTTTTGAGAAGTGTCTATTCATTTCAATTGCCTGTTTTTATGGGGCTTTTATTTCTAGGGTTCTAGTTTTTCCTAGTTCTTTATGTATTGTAGATATGAATACTTTGTCCAAGGAGTCTCTCACAAAATGATTTTCTCATTCTGCTGGCTGTCTCTTCTCTCCATTGGTTGTTTTCTTTACTCTTCAGGGTTTTTTTACTGAGGATTTTGCTCTTGCAGGCAGGCACTGTGCTGCTGAGCTATATCCCAGCCCATGCATAATTTTAATTAGTTGATTTTTGGTACTATTTTTGTGTGATTGAGCTGCTGTGCAAAAAGTCTTTGTCTATGCCTATATCTTTAAGAGTTTTACCTACTTTATTTTCCAGCACTGCTTGTTTTAACATTTAGATCTTTGATCTATTTTGATTTTACTTTAGTAGTTGAGAGACATGGATCTAGATTCATTCTGCATGCAAATAGCCAGTTTTTCCAAAACCATTTGCTCAAGAGGCTCTTTCCTCCAGTGTATGTTTTTGGTCCCTGTGTCAAAAATCAGACAGCTGAATGTCCCTGGATTGGTTTTACAACCTTACTTCTGTTCCCTCATGTCTGTTTTTGTGCCAGTACTGTGCTGTTTTTGTCACTGTAGTTCTGTAATATAACTCGAATCTGGAATTGTGAAGTCTGCTGCTTTGCTGTTGTTACACAGGATTGCTTTTGCTATTCTGGGTCTGTTCTGGCTCCATCTGAATTTTAAAGATTATTTTCTCTACTTCTGTGAAAAATGCTGTTGCTATTTTAATTGGAACTGCATTATATCTATGTGTCATTTTTGGTTACAGGACTACTTTAACAATATTGGCTTTGCCTATCTTTCCATTTTCTAATGTATTCAATCTCTTTTTTCAGAGTTGTATAGTTTTCATTATAGAGATTTTTCACTTCCTTGGTTAGGTTAATATCTAGTATTTTTGTTGTTGCTGTTTGTAGCTGCAGCAAAGGGGACTGTTTTCTGATTACTTTCTTGGTGGGCTTATTATTAGTGTACAGGAACGCTATTGATTTTGTATGCTGGCACTTTGCTGAATTTATTAGTTCTAGAGATCTGACAAATTTGTTTTGGGTCTTCCCAAGTTTCTAAAACAGCCAACTCATCCCGAAGCAGAGTACCCCGGTCTGAGTTGGTGTGGAATGGAGCACAACATGGCTTCTCCCAGGTCATTAGGATTGCACTTTTAGAGTGCAGAAGCAGAAAACCCAAATGGCAAACTGATTTTGAAGGAGCACCTGCAGCATATTTCTCCAACTGAAAAATCAGTTGCAGAAACATGGTTTGCCATTTATTTTTTGGACAACTGTGTTCCTATTGACTTCAGAGCAGACTTTAATTTTTGTCAAGTGAAATGGTGAATTAGTTTTGGAGCACAAGGGGGCTGTCTTGAGTCCAGGTGATAGGTGGGTATATGGGTCCAGAATGTGAGGGATACCAGCTGCAAATAGATTGCACGTTTATAAAAATGCCTACAAAAGGGAGATCATACACCATGATTTAATTGCAGTTGAATATAAGCCTCATAAACAGCTCGACAATCTGTTGTATTCACCGCTCTATGTCCACTACCTAAATATTTGATTGGCACCCCTCGTTTCAGAGTGAACTTTAGAAATCAGAATTTGACAAACATTGCACACAGATTTAAACGGTCTATTTCCTAAATGAGGTAAGGGAGTCCTTTAATTCAGCGTTTACATTCACGTTAAGAATACAGAGTGCAGCTAGCAAACGCTACCGAGCAGACAGTCCGCCGGAAAGGCAATTAAAAAAAAAAAAAAAAGAGGCAGGCGAAAGTGCTGCCGGGAAGAAGGCGGGGCCCAGTGCCCACCGCCCTCAGCGGTTGGCGCATGCGCGGGTTGCGTCTTCCGGCGGGTCGCAAGGTCCTTTGTGCTTTCCCTGAGTGGGCGGTTGCGACCCAGGTAAGTTGCCTCACGAGTGTCAGCAGGTCGCTTTGGAGGAAGATGACGTGATTCCAGTTCTTGGAATTTACCCTTCTATCCGGCAAGGTTTTCTAATAGAATCCCTTCATAGCTGAGTCCCCTTTGGGTAGGGTGGGGAGGCGTCCTTTTAGACAGCGTGGTGGCCAAATACAAAATAATCTCCTGTCAACCTGGCTGTATTTTAAACCTGAATGTTATATGATTGAGGGGACGACGCAGTACTGCCGAACACAGTTGGTAAAGTAGATGCCAGGCTTTGAGAGACCCCCATGGATCCCCCGGTGTAAACGCGCGTGATAAACACCCTCCCCCGCAGAAAGTGCGCTCTGCGCCTGCGCCCCGACTGCACCTTGCCCTCCCCCAAGTGTTGGTGTCGGGATGAATCAGCCGTGTTTAAAAGTGGGAATTTATGGGCATATATCGAGATTATTTCCAGAAGTTGCAAGATCTGGCGACGCATACCTGTAGCCTGACCTCCTGGACTGTTTACATCTCCACTTCACCACAACCCTTTGTTACCCCAAAGGCTTCCCTCATCCTTAGTTGTCCTGGTTCCTACCTGATCCCTTCTCTCCTTGGATGGCACAAAAGTATTTCCCCAGAACAGCCCAGAGGCCAAGCTGGGTATGTGCTTTGTATGTAAAATGTTTATTTCTGTTTTATCAAGGTGTTTTTCTTTTGGAACAAATCTTTCAGTCTAGGCTTGGTAAAGTTGAGTCATCAGCGATATTTATAGAGAGAGATCTGGGATGTTAGCTGATACCTTTTTATTACAATTAAACTCATAGAATATTTTTTCTTGAAAAACATCAGTTGCACAGTTTTATGAGATGATGTTTTAAGAAAGCATTTTAACATGTTGTATCAGGTAGCCTTGAATTCATTGGATCCAACAGATTCTCATATCTCTTATTGTAGTAAAATTGTAAAAATATTAAACATTTGGCCAAGTGTGGTGGCACATGCCTATCTATAATCTCAGCATTAGGGAGGCTGAGGCAGGAGGATCACGCTGAGTTCAAGGCCAACCTGAACTGCATAGTAAAAGCCTGCCTCAAAAATGACAAAAATCAAACACACATAGACACATACACGTGTGTGTGTGTGTACACGCTCATACATTCACTAATTTTTTATCATACCATAGATTTAACAGGCATATTCCTGCAGATTTTCTCAAAATCATATTCTTGGAGAAGGTATTTTTCTAAATGTGTGGTACTGGGTTAAATGTAGGGGCACCACATTGCTACATCCCTGAATTTTTTTTTTTTTTTAAATTTTGAGACCAGATCTTACGGAGTTGCTGAATTTCCTAGGGTAGGCTCAAACTTATGATCCTGTCTCAGCCACCCAAAATGCTAGGAATATAGGCAAGTACCATCATGCCTGGCCTCTTGTCTACATTGGTTGCTTTGCCCCCCACACCAGTGCTGGGGGTCAACTTAGACCTCAGGCACACTAGCCAAACTTCCTACCACTGAGCGACATACTCAGACCTACTTGTATATTTGTTCTAAGTGGTTAAAAGGATTTCATTATCAAAAGGCACCAGAAGACAGGTGCACCAAAGCTTTCATCTGAAATGAATTGGCACTTGTGAATGTCAGACACAGAGCTTACACAAGTATATTTTTATATTATGTAGTAGAATCTGGAAATGTTGGTTCAACTTGGAATTTTCAATATTGTTTCTGTTTTTAGAGATCCAGAGATTCTGGTGAGAGACAGACCTGTGTTCTTTCCTCAACAAGGAGCAGCCTTATTCTCAATGCCTCTGACAGGCCTGTACTTTGGGAAAGGATGGCTTGGAGGTTGGAAACAACGGAGTTTCCTGCAGGCTGTAACAGGCAGTAACTTCTTGTTCCCCTGGGGGCACTGTCCCTGGAGAGGAATGGGAACCTTTCCGGACCCTGAGATGAGAGCCTTCCTGGAGGAGAACACCAGGGTCACTAGCAGTGGCAGCCTCACCCCTGAAATCCGGTTGCGGCTTTTGACCCCCACTTGCAAATTCTGGTGGGAGAGAGCAGACCTGTGGCCCCACAGCGATCCTTACTGGGCAGTCTACTGGCCGGGAGGCCAGGCCCTGTCTAGGTACTGTGTAGCGAGCTGGAAACACTTTTCTCCTTTCAGAATCTCCAACTCACATTTTCCTGTGCCATGAAACAACAGAAGCCCAAAGTGCTAGAGACCTGAGCAGCCCCTGCACTGGGTGTAATTAAGGAGCTCTCTGCCCACAGGCCAAGGGAGAAGACTTGTCTTCTGGGAAGACTGATTGGTCTTCTCCTCCAGAAAAGCTGCCTAAATACAGGACGCAGTTCCCCAGGTGGCAGAGGCAGGAGCATTGCAAGTTTGAAGCCAACCCAGGCAACTGAGATTCGGTCCCAAAATTGAAAAGAGGGCTGAGGGTGTATCTTAGTGATACAACATTTGCCTAAAAAGGCAAGACTTGAGTTTAACCTCTAGTTCTGCAGAAATGAAATTTAAAAATTGCCTTCCATCCCAAAGTCTAATTCCCACCCCCCTTGCCTTTTCTCCCCTTTCCCTCGCTATACTAAGGATTGAACCTAGGACATTTATACTAAGCTATGTCCTCAGCCTCTTTTTTAAATTTTGAGACAAGGTCTTGCTGAGTTGTCCAGGTTAGCCTCATACTTGTCATCCTGCTTCTGCCTCGCAGAGTGCTGAGATTGTAGGTATGCACCCTGCTTTAATCCTGTGATTGTCACTTTCCCTTCAGAGTTGCTTTTCCAGGGAAAAAGAAGTGTGAGTGGGGCCGTCAAGGCTTCACTCTTCTCTAGAAGGCAACTTAGTGAGACTGTGCCTCAAAATAGCAAACAACAAAAGGCTGGGAATGTAAGCTCAATGTAAGAGTGTCCCTGGGTTTCATCCAGATCATGGTCAGCCAAACAACCAAGGAAACAAAACACAAAGAAACAAACCAAGAGTGAAAAGATCACTCTGAATCGCAATCAAAAGGAAATAGTAATTTTGGATGTTGTTTACTTAGTCCTGATTTTGTATTTGTCGGTCCTAGTTGCTGGTGTTTAGTAGTTTCTGGGTTATGGTTTGAATGCCCAGTACTTTTATTTTTGGTTTTGCGGCTCAAACCAAGGGCTTCATGGGTACTCAGCTGTATCGCTGAGCTGCACATCCAGCCTTACTACTACTGCTTGGTTTTTGAGATTGTGGTGAAGCCAGGCATGGTGGCACAGGCCTATAATCCCAGCACTCTAGCAGGCTGAGGCAAAAAGATTGAAAGTTCATGCTCACCCTAGGCAACCTAGCCATTTAGCAAGACCCCAGTGGGATGGTGTGATGTAGCCAATGCAGATATCCTGGGTTCAATCCCTAGTACCCCACAACAAATAAGCAAAAAGCTGATTTGAAGCATGTGAATAGATGGGGCTGCTCTTAACAGCTGCTGAACAGAATGACAGGGTTCTCTTCCCTGCCACCTCTGCTATCCTTAAAGATTAGCATTTGGTTCTCAGTGGTCCGGGACAAATTTGCAAATGGGAAATGGGAATCTTCTGCCAAATCCTGTTTCTTTACCCCTCGTTCACAGATTTTTTTTTTTTTTTAAACGTCTCTTACCTTACCTTTTCCCATCTCTCTGAAATGTGTCTTGCTCTTTCTTTCTAATTCAGGTATCTTTTAGATAACCCGGATGTTGCCAGGGGAAAATATGTGTTAGACCTTGGGAGTGGATGTGGAGCGACAGCCATTGCTGCTCAGATGAGTGGGGCATCGAGGATCTTGGCCAACGACATAGACCCGGGTGAGAACTTTGGATTTAAAAGTGTGTTACGCTTATTGTGTTCTCTCAGGATAAATATGATCAGATGCCTAGTGCAAGGGTTTACAGCCGTGTGTGTTTTGTAACCTGTTATCCTGAGCCTTTATCTGGGTCCCACATAGTCCATGGGGATCATTATCTGAGGCCTGAGCTGATAAATGCATTTTTCCCAGAAAGATTCTTATTTGTGTCTGCTGGGCCTCCTGATGGGGCACTGACCTCGAGTATTTACATTAGTTTCTGAGTTAGGGGATTCCCTAAAATGTAGAAGTACTGTTTAAATGATCTAAATCCCAAAGGAGGCAAGGCCTATAAGTTTGGGGGAGATTTTTATTCATTAGGACCCAAGTTGGAACACATAGACTTCTATTTTATCTCCTTTTCTTCTGGTCCACCCTTACCCTGAGGACACAGCCCTGGAGATGCAGATCTCAGTTCTAACCAGTTGCCTTGCTTAAACCCCAGGCTTGTTTCTCTGTCCACATAAAAAAACAAAACAACACCAAAACCCACGAACACCCTAGGTATTGTTATCAATAAATGTTCTAAAACCCTGACATTTCCAGGTGTTCTGTATTATTTTATTTTCGGAATAACTAGTCAAATATTTGGAGATTGTAGTATAGTGGGGGATTAAAACAGCCTGTGGTATGTGCTAATTACTGATTTATTATATTCTCTTGTAAAGTTGCAGCAATGGCTATTACATTAAACTGTGAATTGAATCACTTCAGTCCTTTTCCCATTTTGACCAAAAACATTCTAAACATGGAACAAGATCAGTGGGACCTTGTTGTCCTTGGCGATATGCTTTATGACGAAGCCCTGGCTGACAGTCTTCATGTGTGGCTGAAGAAGTGTGTTCGGACCTTCGGAACTCAAGTACTTATAGGGGACCCTGGGCGGTCCCCATGCAGCGGGCACAACATTTGGCGTGAATTGCACAAGGTGGTGGAATACTCCCTCCCAGAGGCCACCAGGCAGCAAAACAATGGGCTGACAACAAGCTCAGTGTGGGATTTTCAGCCTTGAGTTGTGAAAATGCTTTTAAGTTTGACTGTAGTTCTCTTTGGATTTAATTGCAAAAATATTCTCCACAGGAGATACTCTCCCATCAGTGCCAAACCTTGGTTTCCAAAATAGAAAGTCAGCCTTTGTCACATAACTCGTCCTGTGTTTCTAAGGATGCCAGTTGCACAAATGTCTACCTGCACATTTTTGTATAGTTTACTGCTGTATGGATAGAAAGCAGTACCCAATGGTGCTGGCATGTAAGTGAAGTAGTGAGGAAGAGTAGATGTTGTAGCAGAATCTCTGTCTCTAGTTGAGGACACCTGTGGTGTATCTGCCCTCCCTCCCCACTTTGGTACTGGAGATTAAACCCAGGTCCTCATAGCAAGTGTTGTACCACTGACCTACATCCCTCACCCTATGATCTATCTTTGAATTAAACAAGCAAAATACAAAATATAGAATAATGGGTTATTTTTCATAGTACTGGGGATTGAACTCAGGGCCTTATCACCAAGCTACATCCCCAGTACACCCTCCCTCCATTTTTTTTCAAGACAGGATCTCTAAGTCACTAAATTGTCCAGCCTAAGCTGAAATGTTTGATCTTGTCTTAGCCTCCCAGAAAACTGAGATTATAGGTATGCACCACTATGCCTGACAGAATACTGCTAGTTTTATTTATTTTTTTTAGTATGGTACAGAGTACTGAACAGTATGAGACAACTCTCACTTTGTAGCTGAGATTATAGGTTGGGTAGGCTTTCCAAGTTTTACTTCCATTATTTATGAACAGTAACGAAATAGAACAGATCTCGTATCAGTGGTTATTGTATTAAATCAACATAAAGGTCTCTCAAGGAGTATTTAGGATATGGTAGACCTTCAGTTAACAACACTAACCGCAAAAGATCATAGTACTTGGTAAATACATGCACATAATAAGTGTTCACATATTTTAGCTGCTGCTAGTCATGATTCCTTTATTGTAAAACACCACGGCTCCTAGTGACTGCAGAATAAAGTGCATACAAAGTACCATTAAATCTTTCTCCAGTTAGATCTGGATATACTTTTTTGATCTTGTAATACTTGCCCCTCACCCATCAAAAGTTTTGCAACACTTGTTCCCCAAGTCCTCCTACCTTAGTGCCTTTGCTTATGCCCTTCCCTCTTTTAGGAACTTCCTTAGTCTCACTGCTTCTTCAGGCTGCTTTGTTACTGCCCTACTCCCAAATGTACCCATATGGCTCAGGTTAAATTCAAGCTGTTCTGTAGCCTGGAGCAGATTGGAGTTAATGCTGCCCTTTTTGTGCCACCATAGCACTGCATATTTAGCTGTGCTAAGTGTACATTTCATCCTAATTACAGAAATGCACAACCATGTCTTTCTCTCCCACTATCCAGAACCCCTGTGTTCTGTATAACTTTGTACATTCCTAAGCCTTTGACCCAGTTTCTCATAAATAGAAGCCCAAGGAAAATTATCTGATGAGATAATTCTTCATTTGAAAGAAATAAACAGATAATACCTGAAAGAGACTGTAATTTTCTCACACAACTCTTTAGCCTTTAATCTGCTTGCATCTACTCAATAGACAGTATGACCTGGAGAGTTGGATGGAGAGGGCTTCCTGCCCAACTGTTGAGATTACTTATACTAGTGGTGATGAACCTATGGGACACATGCCACACTGGCTGCTTGTTATCATCGAAAGCTCTAAAAGATTTGCTATCGCTGACTTGTACTATACAGTATAGTCAATATTTGTGAATTTGTGCAAAGCTGAAATTTATTTGCAACTCCAAAAGCTCAGCACAAGGTGCTTTTGTGATCATTCATGGCTATGTGCAAAGTGAGGAAAAATCAGGGTTGCCTTGTACATGCTTCCAGCTGAGGGGAAATAGGCCCAGCCTCTGCCATCTTGTTTCAGCTCAGCCCTAACTAAATATTCTTTCTGCAGTCTGTATCATGCCATGTTTTCATGTTTTCATGCTGTTTGTTCAAGACTACTGTTTAAAATGGTCCCCAAGCAAAGAGCTGAGTGTGGTGGCACATACCTATAATCCCACCATGTAAGAAACTAAGACAGAAGGATGGTCACAGCCAAGGCCAGCCTGGGGTACTTAGTGAGGTCAAGACAGCATAAATCAAAGAGTGAGACCCTTGTCTCAAAAAACCAAAACAATAAAATGGTTCCCAAGTGTAGTGCACAAGGGCTTGGTTAGTGTCCTGAAGTAAGAAGGGTCTAAGAAAACTCGGGCAAGTTATTCAGGCCTGTGTTACATACAGTGTGGTTAGTTATGAGATCAATGTTAATGATTCTGTCTTTTGTTGTGGGGACAACATACAGAGTGCCCATAATTAAAGGAGGAAAGGTATATTTAGCTCACAATTCATGGAAGTTTCAGTTCATAATCAGCTGCCTTCAACACAGGGTGGCTTGGCAGTGGGGCAAAAGTTCATGTAGAAGACAGCAAAAGTAACAAGAAAGAAACAAGCATCTGTTCCTGCCTTATTCTACATACATTGCACCCTAGTGCAAGTGTAGCACTCACACCGCTAATCCCAACACTAGACAATGAACTAATCACAAACCCTAGATTCAGCTGTCTTGGAAAAGCCTGCCCCCCCGTAACTGCATGAAGCTTTGGAGAGACATCCAGACACAAAATATAGCAGTGTCTAAACAGAAACACATATCAACAAGGTGATATGTTGATTAGTGGACAAATGCAGAATTCATGGTGATTTTATACCCTAAAACTACTGAAAACACAATCAATTGATTACATCAGATAAACCATGCAACACCCAAATATACACTTATTCTTTTCGTCTCTACCTTCTGAAAATGTAGTCAGACCAGAAGTAAGTAAGGAAACAAAAATTGCCCACTACAGGCAGTAACACTTTGGAATCACTCATAGTCTTAAAAGAAAGAGCTGCCTGCACTCTTGGCTACCAAGGGGAAGAAAGAAAAGGAGTCAGCATACCAATGAAAGAGTGGTGCAGTGAAAGAGTGTAACTGTTTTCTCTTTTGAGGAATCTAGTGTTTGAAGGCTACCATATTGTTTCCTGCCTAAATCAGTCTCCAGATAGGAAGGCATGCTTATTCTTAACATTTTGCAACTTGAACATTATAACAGTTTAACAGTCCTTAAGAACCAGCATTAAGTCTATCAACATTATATTACATTAGAAACATTACATTTTGTCCTTGGACCTCCAAAGACTCATGCATATTCCTTTATGCAAAAGGCATTTAGTCCATCTGCAAGAGTTGTCAAAGTCCTAAGAGTTTCAGCATTGCTGAAAAGTTCAAATCCCAAATCTCCTCCAAGATGGAAGGCAAACTATCAGCTACGTACCCCTGTGCAAATGAAAACAGTTAAGAACTTCCAACATGCAATGACATAAGATAAAACATTTCAAAGGTTACAAACGATTGTACAAAAGTACAAAAGACTGGGACAAAAGCAAGTCCAAAATCCCAGCAGGGCAAATGTTAAGTCCTGTAGTTTCATGTGCACTGTTTGAGGCAATATATGGAAAACTGTGAGCTCCAAAGGGCTTGTGTGGCTCCACCTCCAAAGCAGTTCTGGTGGTTCCCAATCCCATAGCTTCTCTCTTGGGGTGGCTTTGCTCTCTCATTGCAGGTTTCCTTAGATGATCCATGTTCCTGGATTTTCCAAACTTCTGGTTCTCCATTGCACTTTTGGCTTCACCCTCATAGCTTCACATACTGCCTTCTTGGGGGCACACTGCCTGCCCCTTTCCAGGCCTCCTGAAATCAAGGTGGAAGCCCTTTGAACCTCAGAACTTGTGCATTCTGCATGTGCCTAAAGCCAGTACCATGTGGAAGCTGCCAAAATCTGCTGCCAGCTGGAGCAGTAGTCAGGCTTTCTTCTCTTGGCTCTAGCAACTGAGTCCCTGGATTGCTGGGTACTCTCAACTTGATTGTGAGGAACACATTCTCTATGTCACCTCCATTTTGGAATTTCATAGGGCTCTGAGGCTTTCTCCTTGAAGCAAATGCTTCCACTTTTGCAGTTCAGAAGCTGCAAAGGCCAGCTTTTCGATTCTGTACCTTCTCAGTTGTGGAGATCTCAGCTCTGTCTTTACAGTTCACAGCTTTCTGGTCAAAACATTCTGAATCATCCTGCTGGGCTCTTGGTTCCTGATTTACAACATAAATCTGGCTAAAAGCCCCCAATAACAGCTATGTTGAGCCACTGCCTTAACATTTGCCTGCCTTGATATTTCTTCTGCCAGATTAATCAGTCTATCACTCTTAATCTCAGTCTCAGGCAAAGGCTCTGGACATGAGCAAAATGCAGACAAACTTTCTGCCAAGCCATAATATGGAGTCCAACAACCAGTGCAGTCTCTCTTAACCAGCACAAACCTCCTGAGCCTGGTCTTTACTGGCAGGCTTTCTATCAGCCTTCTGGACTGAGCTCTGACCAGAATTTCCCCTACAGAACAGCCTAAGCTGTTCCAGCTCTATGCATACAGGCAACATCTCCAAGTCTTTCCAAATTCTTCCCACAAGCCATTTCCAAAAGCTCTTGAACCCCATGGTCAGGTATAATCACAGCAACCACCCCAATCCTGGTACCAAATTCTGTCTTGGTTACTTTTCTTTCATTGCTGGGACAAAACACCTGACACTCAAAGGGAGGAAAGGTTTATTTAGCTTACAGTTTTTAGAGGTTTCAGTCCACAATCAGCTGGCTACAAGGCAAGGTGGCATAGCACTAGGACAACACTTTATGGCAGCAGCCAGAGCAAAAGGGGGAAAAGAAGCCTCTTTTGCTGCCTTATATTGTACTCAGGCTACTACTACACCCGCTTCAGGATGGGTGTAGCACTCACAAAATCATCTTGCCCTCTCATCCACAGGATGAGAGTATTTACAAAGTAAGAACCCTGGTTCCCTGCTGAGTCTCTTAGGTCAAACTTCTGAACTTCTCAATTGACACAATGTACCAACCATAACATTGTCTAATACTTGCTTTTTAACTATTTCAATTTAGATAAAAGGCTTATAAAGGTGTATTTTTTGCAAGGCCTCAGGCAAGATCAATGTAGACCATTGTATATATTCAGCTTGGTTGTGACTGTAGCCATGTTGATCATAACCAACATTTTGCTTATTGGCTCACTCCCAACTGGAATTCCAAACCCTATGGGATAAATGAAGACATTAAGATTGCTAGGCACTTTTTTGCCATCCACTGACACCAAGATTTTCTAACATCTGACATATGAATAATTTTTTTCATTCACAATGCTGAGAAACCTTTGGTCTTATGTATGCTGGGTAAGTGTTCTACCATTGAGGCACAGCTCCAGCTGATACATAATTTTTTTGAGGACGTCCATATGCAGTTGGCCATACGCCACCTTTGTCTAACTTTGTAAAACTCCTTTCTCCTGTGTCACATTGTGGGAATCTTCAAAATTTGCTGTCACCCAATACAAGCTTCTGTCCAAAACTCCCAAATAAATTATATAATCTTGGATTTTCTGCCTCATTCTTCATATTCTTGGCACTTTCTGTCATTAGCAAGTGGCTCTCATATACTGAATTTTCTTGGAAGAACCTAAAAACAACCCCAAATCCCATTCTATAATTCTTAAAAATGTATAAGGGATAAAACAATTTAACACCAAATCATCCTAAATTTTTGAGAATGCCTCAGAAATCACATTTCCCTTGCTAATAAGTAACCTTGAAGAGAAAACAGCTTCTGGACATCAATGTATAGCTATTTCCCCCATTTATGATGGACCTGCTGCCAACATCATATTCAATGTGGAGAAACTGGAAGCTTTACCTCTATAATAAGGAACAGGACAAGAATGCCGATTATCACCATAAGGGTGTAATCTGGGTCCATGTCGTACTGAGTCAAAGAAAGAAATCAAGAACAAAGGAGATGTGTTTATTAAGAAGAGGGAAATAGGACTTCCGGGAGAACATGGTGGACAGATAGCAGCAGCTACAGAGGCTCTCTGAAAGACCCAGCTTAGAATTTAGGAATGGTGCTGAGTAAGGAATCATAAGCAAGAGGAGATATGCCCCGGTGACTCAAGAACAAACTGGGCTGAGAGAAACCAACTGGGAATGCAATCCTGGTGCTATAACAGGAACAGAAAAGCCTGAGTGTGGAAGCTGGAGCCCGCGCCATTGGAAGCCGCGATTTGGGTTTCCCGCCGCCGTGGCTGCGTCTGCATCAGCTCAGCAGGGAGAGAGACGCGCGGAAGCTCTGAGAACGGGAATCGGTGAACAGAGTTGAGAGCGGGACGGGCAGGGAGCCGTGCCTCCAACTCCGGTGAGTGAGGGAAAACTGGGACTCTTCCACGGTCTAGGAGACTCTAACTGAGGACATTCTGGGACCGGACAGACTTGTGGGAACAGGGCACTGCAGTGACTTCAGTCACCAATACCCCTCTCAAGTGGGATTGGTGAGCAGTGCCTAGCGCACGTGACGCTGCTGGCTGAGACCCAGTCAGCTAGCACAGGCCAGGTCCCAGCTCCTGAAGGTGACCTGGAGGGGCAGGCCCTGCATAGGCTGCCTGGTCTGCAACTTCCTGGTGTGCTGCAGTGGGCGGGAACACCTAGCCAGGGCAATTCAATCAGACTGTGACTGACAGGGAAGGACGCTGGGCCTCCTATATATGCTTGCATATATAAAGAACAAAGAATATGGGAAGAGGCAGCAACAAGAAAGGGTCCCCGGCCCCCAATCCTGAGAAAGAGGCAAAAGCAGATACAGTACCAATAGACATAAAGCGCTATCTCGAGAGCCTCATAGACAAGTTCAGGAATGAAGTTATTAATGACTAAAGCTAGACATAAGCAGAATAGTTAGAGAAATGCTAAGCACCACCCAAGAAACAACAGTCCTGTTCAGTATAATACTTAAAATATTAGAGCAGTCAGGCAAGAGAAAGAAATAAAAGGGATATATATAGGAAAGAAAAAAGTCAAATTGTCTTTATTTGCAGATGACATGATCCTTCACAGAGAAGATCCAAAAAATTCGATGGAAAGACTTCTATAATTAGTAACCAAATTCAGCAGTACAGCAAGATATAAAATCAATCACAAAAATAAGCAGCATTCCTAGACACCAATAATGAACTCACTGGGAAAGAAATTAGCAAAAAAATTCTATTCACAGAAGCTTCAAGAAATATCAAATACTTAGGAATTAACCTAACCAAGGGAATTGAAGACTTTTATAGTAAAAACTACAGCAAAACTCCTTAAAGGAGATTAAGGAGGACCTCAGAAAGTGGAAAGATATCTTGTTCCTGGATAGGTAGAATTAACATTGTTAAAATGACCAACTGTACTTCCAAATTATATACACAGATTTAATGTAATCCAATCAAAATAGCAATAATATTCTTCACAGAAATAGAGAAAGCCATCCTAAAATTCAGGTGGAGCTATAAGAGATGCAGAATAGCAAAAACTAGGCAACAAGAAGGAAGTCACTGTCTAGGACTTCAAGTTATATTACAAACCCACCGTGATGAAAACAGCATAGTCTGGACCCCAAAACTGAAGTAGGTCAATGAAATAGAAGAAGGGACCCAGAAACAGCCACAGGCCATTCAGCCATCTGATCTTTGATGAAAAGGCAAAAAAAACAAAACAAAACAAAACAAAAAAAAACATGCACTGGAGAAAACAAATGGAGCTGGGAAGGCTGGCTAGCCAATATTTAATATAGAGTTCTGGACCCATATGGGACACCATGTACTAAACTAAAATCAAAATGAATCAAAGATATATAAAAGCACAAAAAATATGCTGGAAAATAAAAAAGGTAAAACTTTTGAAGACAGGCATAGGCAAGGACTTTCTGAACAAAACTCTAAATGCACAAAAACAACATCAAGAATCAAAAAATGTAGTCTTACCAAATTAAAAGCTTCTGCACAGCAAAGGAAACAACAGGGTGAAGAATCAGCCTGCAAAATGAGAAAATAATTTTGCCAGCATTCTTTAGACAGAGGACTAATATCTAGAGATAGAATTCAAAAACAGTTCCCCCAAATAAAAGGCCCAATTTTTTAAAACTGGCAAGCAAAATGAATACTTTTAAGGAAAATTACATATGACCAATCAATACACTACAAAATATCAACATCTCTAACCATTAGTGAAATGCAAATTAAAACAATACTGAGATTCTATCTTACTCCAGAAAGAATGGCTGTCATAAAGAAATCAAATAATAACAAATATTGGCAAGGTTATGGGGAAAAGTAAATTCATCTACATTTGTTGGTGGGAATGTAAACTAGCACAACCATTATGGAGAGTCTTCAAAATCTAAAAATAGGGCCGGGGATTTAGCTCAGTAGCATAAGCGCCTGCCTGGCAAGCACGAGGTCATAAGTGATTCCCGGTACCCCCCCCAAAAAAAACCCCTAAAAATAGAAATTCTATTTGACCCAGCTATTCCTTTCTATATATCTTCTTAGAAGAGTTAAAGACATCATATTACAATGATAAGTACACACCATGTTTATATCAGCCTGGTTTACAAAGCTAAATTTTAGAAGCAACCTAACTGCCCATCAACAGATAAAGAAAATGTGGTATTTATGCACAATGGAGTACTACTGTGTCATAAAGGATAAACTCTGTCATTGTAGGACAGTGAATGCACTTTGAGACTATAATGTTAAGTGCAGCAAGTCAGACACAAGTTTAAATGTCACAGCTTCTCTTATATGGGGAACCTGAAATAATATAAAGTGCAAGATAAAAATAAATAATAGGAATTAAGGGCATAGATCCTTTGCAAAAGGGAAGCAGACCCAGAGATTGAAGTAGGGGGAGGTAGAGGAGAGGAAAGAGTTGAAGAAAGTGTTAAGATGTGTTTGTACATGCACCAAATCCCCACAAGGAATGTAATGTACTAATAAAATAAACAAATTAAAAAACTGGCTTCCTTGCTTTAAGAATCCCATGCTCAAAAGCAGGAGCCTTAATGGAGTTCCATCCTGTGTCTTAATTTTCCCCAAGGCTGAAATAATGTTTATTTATTGGACAAAACAGTTATGCAAGTACAGAACTGTTGAAGAACTTTTAAGTACATTGAGAGGCAAAGGCAAAGAGGAAGAACTACTAATCAGAAACCAAGGGCAAGAAAAGTAAATGTAGTATGAGATGCACAGTCCAGAAAGACATCTCATAAAAATGTTATCCTTTAAAATCTGTATACCACAGTATCAAATGCCCTATCTACAGCCAATCACATAATTACTACTACAAAGGTAAAAGAATAAGTAAAAAATGCACAAGGAAAAAATGTTGATGGTAGAATGAAAATTCGTTCTTTGAAATACAAATGAAAACACAGAAGGCAATTACTGTAGTGTACGTTGGAATCTGTTATTAACAAGGGATTGTTATCCCCAAGGTTGCTCACTGTAAGCTGTCAAGGTTGTTCCGATCTGAAAACTTCCAAAATTTTTAAAGTGATAAAACATAACTATATTCTGCTTACAGACTCGAGAGATCCTGCTGCCTGCTACTGTGGCAGTGAACTTGCCACATCCTTAGTTTCTTCTCGGTTCAAAAGGCTTAGGCTTGTGACTTGACCAGGAGAGAACAGCACTATGGTACTCAGAACACAGCACACCAAGGAGAACTTCCTCATTGTTTCCTTGATTATGATTCACACAGTCTTGAGCCCCAGCTAAATAATGCATTTAAGGACTCCTGAAATGCTTTCCTCCACTTCTCCTGAGGCAATAGAGGGCCTCAGTACATTGAAACTGGTGTCAAAATCCAAGTTTCTCCAAAATTCCGTAAGATGAAAGCATAAATCCACTAATGAAAGTTCAGATTCTCTTCATGTTCTTTTCTTACAACACTGTCAACTCTATACACCTATAAGTCATCATACAGATATTAACGTGTCCTTCAGCAGAACTGAGAGACCAGAGTATCACCAGCACTCAGACAAAAGGCATTTTAGCTGTATGCCGGTTTACTAAAAGATTGAAAGTACAAATATTCAAAGTTTTGAGTTTTTAAAATTCTTTCCTGTATGACTAAGCTGCTATCATTTCAATCAGATCCTCCCAGATACAACAGAATAAAGATTAGAATTTAAAAGTAGCTAGGTCAGAACACTATTTAGTTTTTTTATTCCATTTGATCCAGTATTTTAGTGCTGATTTTAAGTATTGCTATTAAAAATATTTAATTTTAATGCTAATAGTGCTTTCCAATAAATATTTTCTCCAAAATCTGTATAACAAAAGTTGCAAACCCAACTTTTACTTGGGATGCTGTCAACTGTCTGACTACAATGTGTGGAATAAGAATCTAAATGAAGACATTAAGTCTAAATGTAGTGTGATAATTCAATTATGCCTTATACATGTATATTCAGTATATTTATATCTAAGTATGTAGTTTGACAGAATATACACCATTTTAAATACAGCAAGGTATATCAAGATGGTTAAAGTAAATATTGGTGGGAAA